GCTCACAGGACAACATCATGCTTGGCAAAAATTGGAGACTGGCTCACCACAAGTTTCTCCTAGTTGCTCACATCACATCACATCACATCGCCCAGTCTTGGCTCAGAGTCTACGCAGTCAGGGAAAGCTGGTAGCGTAGACCGGACCGGTGGCCGATCAGGCAGAAAATGGAGTGCGCCAAAGAACCCCCGACCGAGCTCGCTCCCCGCGGGGCCCCGCTGTGTGACCGAGCTCCTGTTCGCTTCAAAACAGGGGTGGCCATCGACTGGAGCTTGACACCTCTCTTTGAGTGGTCGTCCTGAGTTGTTTCAAGCACGGACGAACACATGGAAGTGGATGCCATAGGATACTGGAAGACCATTTTGCTCTACGAACAGGAGGTGTTGCATGTTAGTGAGTGGCCGTCTATTCAAAGCACAGACTTTCGGTGATCGCCTTGAAACTCCATTTGTGAAGCCTCGACGAAGCCGGATCCCCTGTTTTCCATTTCTCGCGAAAAGACCGAAGATGGCAGGCGAGATTCATGGGCTGCTTGCAGAGCTCTGGGGAAGTCGTTAAGACTCGTTCATCCGACATGCCCTCAGGCGCAAACGCGTGCGTTTCTGCGTGCGCGGGCGCAAACGCAGAGCTCGACGAAAACGATCGTCCTACCTCTTGGAGCTCCTTTTGAATTGGCAAACATCAATAACACTAGTCTAGTGTGGACGTGGCGGCGAAAGAACGCCGCCTTCCTAGCTGCACGAAAAGCTGCTTTTCGGGTTGTGGCAGGCCAAAGAACATCAAAGAACTATATACTGTATAAGACTGTATATATATATATATATGTGTGTTGTCCCTGGTCTTTCCGTATGCAAAGACATGCCAAAGACCATCACCCAGTAGATCTCATGTGTGATATCATGTGAGCCATACCATATCCATACCACACCCGATGCTTCTCCAGACCTGGACCTTTCCTCTTCACAGCACCGCTTTTTCAGGAGGTGAGCCTGCAAAGTACGGCGGCCGCGATGCCGACCCCGAGAAGCCCATCGTCATGGGCAAGTGACCGTCCGAGCGGGCCGGAATCATCGGAAGGGGCATCGCATGGCATGCCATGGTCATCCAATCAACTTCAATCAACCAATTTGTTTCGAACTAGGTTGTTGTGAAGATCGAAGAAATTCCTCTGATATGTTGTGGAGACCTGGGCAGCCCCAAAAAGGATCTTCGGAACGGGACTCAGGCAACGATTTTTCCTGCGACTTCAAGCTCATGAAGGCTCATAAATGTCTCAAGATACACGAGCCAACGCTGAGGGGCCAACGGTTGCCTCACTTTGATCCACTAGACAATCCCATGCCAATTTTGACCCAACCAGTGTACCCAAATCCGCAGGTTTGTAGAATTAAGAGTTTTTGGATGTCTTTTTAAGCTTCTCTATTGGGTTCAAGCCTTGTAAACGGCTCTCTCCACTCCAGCGATGAGAGACCACGTGGCGAGGTACCGCATGAGTATGGCCAAGGGTGATCTCTTGGGCGAGGGCTCCTCCTCCATTTGCCGCAAGGTGCGGGCTCCGCCCCTCGCGTTCAGTTTGGGGGGGTCGAAGTCGGAGACTCCGAAGAGGACTGGGGGTCGAAAAGGAGGTCTGGGTACCTGCAACAGGTTCGTTTGGTGTTGATCGAAGACATCGTACACCCGCGGCCGAATGGATGACGGCTGGTGGTGCCTGGTCCTGTGAAGTAGGGCCGTTCTCGGGAGGACCTGAGAGTTGTTCGTCAGTCAAGGCTCATGATGCATCACACGACTGGAAGAAACAGGCACTGCTTGGACAGGTAGAGGAGCGGCACAGAGCATCCATGAACATCCACAGCAAATGAGCCACTCTCACAGACTGTGTCATGATAGAGGAACATCCACTCCACACTAAATGTGCGTTAGGGTTCGGCATCTGACCGTCGGGATGTCCCACTAACTGTGATGCGTGTTGCGCGGACCGTCGAGAATGGGACTCTCATCTCTTCCCGAAGCCTGTGCAGGGTCGATTCCGCGATGTTGAACTTTTGAACGGACTCATGGTCACCGCTGTTGAATGGTCGATTCCATTCGATTCCCAGAAATCCACGTCAGAGGTGCTTCTCAAAACCGGCTCCCTAGAAAGCAAGAGGTGTGAAAACAGTTGGACTCTGCAATTTGAGACACATTCATTTGGATTTCAGTCTTTCACCCGTTTTCTTCTGCTCGCACTGGCATGTTTTGCAGGGTATTGACCTGGAGACGGGTCAAGTGACTTGGAAGACTTGAGGATTGCAGGAAAGTGAGGGCTTCTATATATGATGCTGCTACTCGTACTCTTGAATGGCAATGTGGGTCTTCAGCAGTGAGGATCATGAGATGTCCGATGTGTATGTCCTCTCCTAAAGCTTATATTCCAAGACCGGAGATAGGGAAGTGGAGTGGAGTGGAGAGTGCAGTCTAAACTCCATGTAGTCTTCTTGAGGACTCGCCGCTGGGAAACTCCACCGGGACATCTGGAATGAGAACACGCCACCTTTTCTGCGTGTTCTCCCGATTTTCCAGGTTTTCATATACTACACTGTAATTGATGGAAGAACTTGCACATCATCTGGAACCATCAAAGCAGTGTAGATAGTAGATACATGTACACTGGTCCCAATCTCAGGTGGTGCAGGATTTGTTCAGAAGAACGGAAGAACGGCGCGTCTCTCCATGGGCTCGCTTCTTTTCAGGATGGCCCTCCCAATTCCGTAGTGAACAACGTGGACGTCCCCAACAAAAGATAGTAAAAGTATTTTGTAGTAGTGTATGTTAGTAGAAAAGAGGAGTTCGGACATTTACCCATTTTGAGAAACACTATTTTTCACGCAATGTGCCTCTTCACAGCTTCTAAGACCGAAGCGGTTTCAGACTTTCCAGGTTTGTCCGAAACGAGCCAAGGAAGTCGCCATCAAGGTATACAAGACAGCGACCAAGTCGGTGAATAGTTCTGAGGCGCGATGTTCCGAGAGTTCGAACCGAAGAAGCGACCGGTCACAGACCAAACGCGAGATGGGAGATGATGGAGATGAAGGCACTTGAAGATCCGAAGGGCTGACAGATTTGATCGCGATCTCATCGGCGGAGAGGGGTTTCCGTCCACCGTGTCTTTGAGCGATCTGGCGACGAGCGAGGACCCCAGTCGACTCACACCGCCGCACCCAGGGCACATGGGTCGCCCTGAAACCTCGGGCTCTCCGTGCGCTCCGCGAGAAGGCCGAGATCCGGTCGGCAGGAGATTCGCCTGCAGAAGTTCAAGAGACAGATCCAGGTCCTCAAGATGTGTCCTGGATGGAAACAGATGAGAACTCCCCGGTGGAGACCGTCGTCACCAGTTCGCTATGCTGAGCAGTGCCCACTGGTGCCCACATCGTTTACCTTAAAACTGAGGCAAGACTAGCTCTGGGTTCTTGGCTTCAAAGGCGCAAATGTTGAGATTTGGGGTTCCCCTTTCTGCCAAGGTTCACCTTTACCCAGTCATACGAGATCGTGCGATGGTCGCAAGGGTTGGTTGTGGTTGGATGTTTTGGTCACCAAACTTTGGTAGGTGTTTGCTGACAAGCCGGACAAACAAGGCACCAAGACCAAAGCAAGGCTCTGACCAAAGCCAGAGCTGGAGGATACACCTGCTTTTTTGCCAAACACAGCTGAGCCCAACGACCGAACCATCCAGGACCGGATGAACCGGTGAGAGGGCCGGACCGACGAGCAGGTCTGCGACACTTTCGCCACGTCAACAGCTCACTGGGCACATCCCAAGAGACTGATTGGGCCACTTCTCGAGTTCTATAAGCACTCCAAAGCATGCTGAAATAGGTTTCATGTGGATATTGATACAGAAATTGGTTTCATGCAGCTGCAGTGTCGTTGGGATTTCCAACAACCTACAGCTTCCCACTCGGTCCCACCCAGGCTGCAGGAGCCCTTCGTGCAGCCGAAGGATGAAACCCTTTGGCACGCCGATCTGGCGAAGGTTCGGGGAAACCAGGAAGGGATCCTGCGGTGGGTAGGTCAACAGATGGTCAGCAGACCTGCACTTTCCTAGATCAGTCCACTGGGGAACCCAGTTTCCCCATAGAGCTAATGCCATCAACTTGTTGCAAGAAAGGTGGGGAGATGAATCAAGATCCCGATAGAATCTGATATACGCATGCTTTTAAAGGCCGAGACCGCGATAAATTCATGGCCACACGAGAATTTGGGCACGATGCTGGGTTTAGCGCTATGCTTTGTTTCTCTGGCGGTGTGGAATTGTTTTTTTGGTCAGAATGGACCTCCAGAGGGACCTGAGTTCGTTGCACTTCCCCCTCAAGCCAGTTCACTTTTGTCAGCTGCTCTGCTTCGTGTCTTCCCTGAGGGACTAAGCAAGTATACAGCTCATTTCCTACAAATTCTGGTATTTGGATCCAGGTTCTGTGTCTCAGCTGACAGTACCAGCACTCCTCGGAAGGCTAGCCCTTCCAAGCTTTTCATGATGCTGGTCGACTACTCGAAGGACTGAACCACGCGCTGGTGACGCCTTCACCAGCCTGACGCCTATATGGAGGGGATGAGTGGGAGATAATGGTTGGTTAAAGACTTCATACATAATTTCAGGACGGTGGGTTATAGGAAGAGTACGCCCGGTCACCCTGTTCACCATTGCACCAACACACATGAGAAAGGTGACTTTGTTGGGAGGAAAAGAGGACATCCATGTCCTGCTTGTACAGATTCAGAGGTTTCTATTCCACGTGGGCATTGCCCAGTCCACAACTGCTCAGGACGCGAAAGGTGAGCCCGCAGCGGACACCAACGACGGAGTCATGTATGTGATTACCGAGGTGGCACAGTACAGCCTTAAGGACCTGATCGTCGTCGCGCCAGCGATGAGGTCACGTTCGCGCGCTCGCACATAGGGAGTAGGGTCGGGCACCCGTGGGGTACTACCTGTAGCCACTGTAGCCCATGAAGCCCTTGAGGAACAGGGTGGAAGCCCATGCATGTCAAAGGCAGGAGAGTTAGGTTCCACTCACCGGATGTCAAAAGCAAGTGTCATTTTTAAACGTATTCATTTGCATTCTTTATGCAAGTGAAGTCAGTGAATGCCTGGAAGAACAAGAGTCCCAGAGGTCCCAGAGCCCAGAGAGATCTAGAACGCAACCTCGCACATTGGATTCGCGTTCTGCCCCGTTTTCCTTTTTCGGTGGCAAGGAGAGTCTCCCGCCTCTTCTTCTTGGTTTATTTGTTTTCGTCCTACCACCCCAAGTCAAACAGGTTTTCATCCTGGCTGCAGTGATAGTGACTAGTGATAGCTCACATTCTCACATATGGTTGTGGAATCCCACCAAGTGCGAATAGAGGGTGCCACTAGTGGCTTGTCAAGGAGTTTCCTGATCCAGATCCTATACATGTCATTCTTTTTTGGCATGTGGATTTGGAAAATAAGAAATATGAGAACGGATGTCTCGTTTTTGTACACTGAAAGCACGCTCCGACCCATGGCGGCCAAGACCCATTTGACTTTCGGCTCAAGCTTGCCATGGCCAGCGTTGCGCGTTGGGCGAGCGTTGGCCGGGTGAACAGTGATGGTTTCTTGGGCGCAGGTGGCAGGTGGCGGGGAGAGCCGAGCCGGCCCATCGTGGAGGGCCGATCGGGTTTCTGACCACCGTGGATGCCCGGAGGGGCCCTGGGTCTCAGGACAGGGCCGATGGAAGGCAGATCTACGTGAAGAGATTGGTCCAGCTCCTTGGATGAAGAACCAATACCAAACAACAAAGGCGGTCCAAAGGCGGAGAAACGTCCAAGACGAGCAAGGTGGAGGGGATGAGGAGTTCAGGACATTCAACGTCCCTCAACGGAGAGGAGTGGGGCCTCTGATTTTGGGCTGATTTTGTGGGTGATCGGTGTTGGAATAGGAACGAAAGATCAAGGAATCAAGTTGTGCTTGCAATGCCCATTTTAATGCCACCGATGCCGTCCATCATCATCGTTTGCCACTGATGTGGATCTTTGGGTAGGCGACGTTCTTCGTCACTTGCGAAGGGTTCGTTCGGTGCCCGGTGGATGCGAGCGACATGGAGCTCTTTTGAAATACCATACCCGGTGATTGAGGTTGGACATCCCATACTATAGAGGGTAATTTTCTACAGAATGCCTGGCTAACCCCCCCTACCATTGTTCACCGGGTATGAAATAATTACCTGCATTTGGCAGTTTTGCTGGCTGGGATCTTTTGTTAACTCGCTATCCTTCCTGCTGGCAAGCTCAATGCAGGCTCCGAGAGCAGAAGAAGTGGGCAGAAGCTTTGGATTCTCGACGGATTTGGTTGATGTTAGAGTTAGAGGGTAGACACCATGAGGTGGAATAGATGCTTGACATGGCTGTGGCTCAGAACAGGATACGGATACGGCCTTATCAACTGACCTGACAGATCAACCATGATTAAGCCTATAATCAGCACAGAATTGGGTTTGCCCAGCCACCATAAAGACATCACTCGAAGCCTTTAAGGCCCACAGCACAAAAAAACGGGGTTATGCCATGGGGTGACACCATGGGACATCCAGGGATCACAACGAGTATCAACGAGTCATTCCATCCAACAAACCGTTTGACATCATGGGATCCCACAAAGACTCGTCCCGTCCCACTATGTCGCACCTTGGGACCCCCAAGCAGCAGGGTATTTGGGTAGATCATACTTGGGGTAAGAGGGACGAACGTCTCCCCACCAAAACAAGTTTGAGCATGTTCCATCATTTTCCTTTGAACCGAGTCTTTTGTATGCCCAAGGTTCAAGCACGACTTAAGAAGAGGACCTATGGCCCGGTGGTCATTGAACTCCCGGACATCTGAGATGCTCTCACCAACACCACCTGATCGAATCGTTTCATCACTGAAATCAGGAATGAAAGCCCAATGGCCGAGGGTCTCCCTCTTCAAATACCAATCCAGTCACTTCATAAGGATCTCCTGGGCCTCTTGCACCTTCGTCGTCTGGAAGCCAACGTCATCTGCCGTGGTGCAGCACTGAGCTGTTGCGAGCGAGCCAAGCGATGGCGTTGGGGAATGACGCCTGGCAGCGTCGCGACGGCTGTACGGTTCGAACGGAGGTTCGAACGACCCCCTTTTTGGTCGGGCACTCCAATGGATGAGAAGGGCACGGCCCACATTGGGGGTGGTTCAAAGATGTTCAAACATATGTTGAGTAGGGTCAAGGTATAGACATATACCTGAGACGTGTTGGTCGGATGGAGAAAAGAACCATCTTTAAGGAGGTTCGACGCCTTTTTTGTGACGCCCAAATTGAAGGGGAGACAGGGAGCATCTGAAAGGTTTCCAGCCCGATCTGAGTCAAGGAGGTCACTCTGAACTAATGGCACTGGTGTTTTGCCACCTAGAAATCGAAAGCCTCTCCATCTCATGTTATGTTATGCCCAGGCAAGTCTAAACAGCCATCTAAGAACCGGGATGAACTTCTCCTTATCCCCGAAGCATTTCCATTGGACAAACCAGCATCCTTGGGGCCAAAAAAAGGCCATGCATGGCCACACACGTCTTCGCCAATTGGTTGGCCATGACTCATCTCCGAACCCCAGGCAGCTGCTGGATTCTGGTGCCTTCAGTGTGATTTCGCTGAACTCTGGGGTCTCCGGCTGCGGGTGGCCTGGCATTTGAAGAGAAAAAAGAGCCCAGAGGACTACTCCGCCTGAATGGAATGAACAACGTTTAAATATCATGTTAAAAGCGTCTCACATCTCACACTCTCGTGAAAGACCTGCCAATGATATTACTTGGATATGTCAGTGTTCAGATACGTTCAGATCGCCATCTTTCCGTCCGCCTTCGTGGGAGGCGAGCACTGGCGTGGCAAATGGCTTTGGAGCTTTTGAAGCGACACGCAGGCGGGGAGTTTCGCCCTTCGCGCATCGCCGGGTCCACGTGGATCCATAAGGAATGGACAACATCTACCGTTTGCTGCGTCGTCGTCCGCTTTGGGCCCTTTAGCCTCTAGTGGTGGAAAGGGGAAGAGGGTCCGACCCTGATCATTCCCAATAGATTCCTATGACTTATGAGTCACAGGCTATGACCATAGAATGTGCCATATTCTGTTTCCATCATGAAATGGTTGGTTCAGCCTCGCCGCCAGGGCGTGGGGCTGAGGGGTTGCCCTCCTGGAACGCGGCGGCCAGTGGCCTTGTTGGTGGTCGCACTTGGCGACTGGCGCAAGGGCTGCTGGGTGAGATGATGGGAGGCGGCTGACCGCATTGTAGCGGTTTTTGCATGGGGTCCATATGAGAAAGGCGAGTGAAAGGTGAGTGGGCAGGGAAGCTATGTATTATGGAGGGACCGAAGAACATCGTCACCCGGTGGACTTGGAGCAACTTCGAGATGCTACCTTTGCTGGTTATGACAAGGACCTCTTGATCTAATTCTCCCATCAGTAGCCTGCAATACTGACTACACGGTCTTCAATCATTCCCAGATAGCATCCAAAAGGTTCCTCAAGATTTCGTAAGATCCAGTGCAGTGCCATCCCCCAAAGCCTGGCATCCCATGCCTTCCCACTTTGCTGCTCCAGATGGGCCTCAGCCGGACCTCATCTCCTTTGGCAGCGTGATGCGTGGACCTCTCTCCGCCTGGCCAGAAGCCTCGGCACTGCTGGATGAGGCGTCGATCGGTGACGATGCGGACATCACGTCGAAGCGTTTGGAAGGGATGAACGACGCGTCGAAGTGCAGAGGATCCCGCTTTTTTGGGGCAAATTTTGGAAGAGGTGGAGGATTTCCTCAGCTGCGCAGCGGTGTCGCCGACATTTGGAAGACCAAAACGACAAGCAGGCTTCATTCCTTCGGCTCCAAACGGGAATCCCGGGAAAGGCGAATGACGTTGAGAACTCGGTTGGGGCAGGACGGTAGAACTCGCTTGGGGTCTTGCAGCTTGGTCTTGGTTCGCTTCCATGACACCAGGTTCAAAGACATCTTGCCTTTTCCAGGTGGGAATAGTGAGACATTCCAACACATCCCAGTCAGAGGGGAGTGTGAAGAAGAACGGTTATTGAACGGTTATTCATGGTGATTCAGTCCCCAAATGTTCCCAAGGATTCAAAAAAATGAGCTTCTCACAGGTGCAGTGTATGTCAGAAAGGGGACCAGATGCAATGACACACCATCTCTGCGTCACCTTCGCAGCGAAGAGTTCACGGTGCCTTCGGGCGTGCGGCGTCCGGCGTCCCTGCAAGGCAAGATGGCGCCAGCTTCAACCAGGCGGCGCCACAACAAAGGGGTCTTGGGAGAGAATGGGCTCCAACAAACCGGAGAGAAGAATGCGGAGTCAGCCCCAGAGAGTATCACATCAGTGGTTCCAACCCCTATCAGATTGATCTGTTGGATCTTACTTTCAACGCTTTCAACATGTACTTTGCAACAAGCAAAGCAACAAACCATCATTGGATCACTTCCTTTTGAAGCTGCCGCCACCCATTTCCGCCTGCCCGCATGCACCCACTGCACCCTCTCCACTGTGGGACGGGGATGACGGGGCTCAGCTCCACTCAAGGGATGCACCTCTTCAATGCAGCGATCATTTGCTTGGGTGAAGGTGCTGCATGGGAGCAGGTGCCGTGGGCCAGTGTTTGCGCCTATTTCGCAAGGAAACAGCTGTGCATGGGAACAGCTGTCCTGTTTCATAAACCAGCCCAGCCCAAGTGCTTTCTAGATCTTAGAGCACTTCCTTTTCTTTTTCTGCCTCGCAAGAAAGTGGAGAGAGCACTTTCGGAAAGGGCTGCTTTCTGGATCTCCCTTCACCCATCTCCCACATGCGCCAGGTGCTCCACTTGTTCACTGGCCTCGACGCCCCGGACGCCGCCACACGCCACGCCGCCATCAGCGCGGCGGCGAACAGCGCGGCCACGCGGGCAGCAGTGGCACTCGTTGCGCCCGCGGTGGATGTCGTTGGGGTGACGGCCGCGCTGGGCGACTTGGGCTCTTAAGGCGCTTCACCATTTCGATGGCTTGCGGTTGGGCTCCGGTTTTGGTGGCGAGCTCCCTTGTGTTTCACTTCTAGAGATTGGCCACAGAGGCTAAGACTGCTGCCCTAGAGCTTGCGTGATACTCCAAAAGCCATCCAGTGCCATAGGCCCATGGAGATTTTGCGGCTGAAGCTTCAGGCAAAAGTCAAAATATATTTCTGCAGAGACATGGCAAATGCAGAAAACAGACATCTGAAATTCTTGGCAGATGCCCAATCCTTCTTCCAAACCCATCTAGATGGCTTGCCAAATCTCAGTTGGTGGGAGTCTACGGCGGTCCACAATTAAAAGAACCCAAACACCGAACATCAAAGACATTCGAACAAGCTTTTATTGTTTCGTGTTGTTTCTATTTGCTTGCGGGTCACCTTTGTCCAAGTCAAAAATCAGCTCCACGCTGCGCCGTGATCCCCCCGCAGCCCCAGGTGCTTTGGATGGTCAGTGGCTTTTGGCCTTCGAATTACTCCTCGAGCTCCGAGCAGCTCAAGGGCTTCTCGGTGCACCAAAGACGTGGGCTTTCTCGCTCAAGTGGCCCTCTCAACACGACCCATGGGCGCATATGCCGATCACTTGGGGTAGTGCCATGGGGGGTCAATTGATCGGCATATATTATGGCAGTCCCATGGAGCGTCTGGGATTATTCCATCTGCTAGATCAACTATCATTAGAATTGGAAGCATGATTAACGACTTGAATGTCCTTTCGACTTGTCATTTTTGAATATCATTCGTTTTTCTTTGTGGCCCACCATGTTCCATCTTTCAAGGCGTTTGGACTCCCAGTGCTGTGGCTCCGCTGTCGGTGCAGTGGGGCGCTGGGAGATGGCGCTGCAGCTCCTGACGCTTGGGAGGCCGTGATGGGGCGTCGGGGATCAGCGGGTCCAGGGTGGCTTGGAACGGATGAGAAATAATCACAAACTGAGCACCCGCAATACGCGAAGAACGGAAGAACCCTGCAGCTGTTTTCGATTATTACTTTTATTTTTTTAAAACGTGTTTTTTTTTTCATTATTTTGTCCATCTGTGGCGAATCATTTGCATGAACTTCGATGTATAGGGCGTGATGGTGTGATGATCGTGATTGTATGCCATATTCTCATCCACCCATAGCCACTCCCGTCCGCCAGGTCTTGGGAGATTCCTCCAGACCTCATCTCCTGCAATCGCGTGCTCTCAGTACTGGAGCAGCAGGACCGAGCAGCAGGGGCGACCACGGCGATGCCACGGGGATGTTCGCGGTGATTTCGAGACGAAGCGACCCAATGCATGTGTTTTGGAGTGTGTTTGGATGGTGTTTTGTCTGGGGGCTGTTGGTTTGGTTGGGTTTGGTCTGTTCTGTTTGGGTTTGGTTGGGTGTTTTATGTTTTGTTTTGCTTGGTGCATCTTCTTCGAACTCGCTGCACTTCTGCATTTGGCCATGCTCAAGGCCTGACCGGCCTGACCTTTGGGCCAGGGCAACGAAGATAGGAAAACATCTATGGAATCTATGGTAGGAGCAAGGACGCTACTAGGAGCAGAGGGCATCGCTACTAGGAGCAAGGACGCTACTAGGGGCTCCTGGCCCTAATAGGAACAAGAAGCTACTAGGAACAAAGGAAGCGATGGCCTCCAATCTAGTGGCATTCTTGCTACTAGTAGCTATTTGCTAGTAGTAATGCCAGGAGCCCCTAGTAGCATCCTTGTTCCTAGTAGCGATGCCAGGAGCTCCTAGTAGCAAGGATGCTATGGTTTTTGGTTGAGTCACCCGGGGGCTCCTTCAGACTGTCAAGGAGTCTCTCGGCCGGGCAGACTAGGCATGACATATCTCATCTCACTGCCTCAGATGTGGCAGGAGCAGTGGAGGGTGTCTAGTCAGCTCCTATCTGGTTTCTCGGCTGCCTGAAGGAATCTGTAGAACTTGTCTGGTACGATCCTGATCCCGCAAACTCCCCGGCGACTAGCGGTTTCACTTGACTTGCTAAACCATTGGACTATTACATGCAAATTCCAGGATCAAAGGTTCATTCGGGGTTCAGAATGTTTGGTTTCTGCCCCAGTCATGAGTTGCTGCATGGAATGAATCCAAAAGATCCTTGCTTGCAGCATCTGTCTACCTCTCCAAGGTCTCGATGAGACAGACCTGGTGAGCCTCAATGAATTGCTGAGAGCCTTTGAGAAGGCGAGGCAATGGCAAAAAGCCTTCGAACAGATGTGCCTTCGGCATTCGAACAGGCCTTCTTCGCGAAAGCGGGACACTCCACACCATGCAGGTTTCGAAGAAACCGTGCAACGTGTTTCTGAATCATCCAGGAATCCATGTTCCGAATCGATGCCAAGACATTTGGTCCATCCCTTACTTTTGAGGTGCTCCATGCGGGTGCGGAGGAACGACATCGACGACATCAGCTGTGTGGCACTGCTGGGCGCCTGTGAGAAGGTCGCACTGTGGCGCCACGCGCTCCAAGTACTACCACCAGGTGGGTGGGGCGGGTTTTTTTGAGTTCTTGGTGATGCGTTTGCAAGAACCTCGGGTGACGAAATAAGGATTTCTGGAAAAGTTGGTTTTTGAGCTGCTTGGTGCGGAAAGCTGACGAGCTGATTAGGTGAAAGCTGACGACTGAGACATGTCCGAAGCTCGAGGATTTTGAGCTAGTACCTTTCCTCCCAAAAAGTGAATTCAATAGGGGCAAGAACGCAAGAAAGGTCTACCGACAAAAGGTGCAAAAGCCCTAGGAGCATCACACGCTTGTTCGAGCAATTCTGGTTTTATCCAGGTCAATCCCCCTTCACTTTAAGGCCACCAAATGGTGATAAGAATATCCATTCACCAAGCTCTTCATCCTTCGTCCATCCCTCCAGGCGCCAACATCGCACAGCTCAACACGGCGTTCGCGTCCTGCGAGAAGGGGCGACGCTGGGAAGAGGCGCTTGGGCTGCTGAGGAGCATGCGAAGGCCGAATCCGAAGCGATGCCACTTGAACAACCGATGGGAGATGGGAGAGGTGACATGCTGTGACCGAGTTCCCTTCAAAAAGATCCTGGCATGTAGGCAAGCTGGGTGTTGCTTTATGAACATTTGTGAACATAGCAAAGGAATGTCCCAACTACCATCAAACTAACTAAAGAAACACGTGTGATTAGTTGGGATTTGTGATTTGTGACTGTCTCCATCTCAAGCTACTTGCTGCTCAAGCTCTTCAGCTGAATCGCACCGACGTGGCGGCATCAGCGCGGAAGTGATGGCGGAAGTCGAAAAGAGTGGCAAGAGTGAAGTTGAGAGAGATCCGGAGGCTGGAATGGAATCCCCAAGAGCTCAAGGTGAAGTGATGCCTCCTGCATGGAAGGAGGTCTATGGCGGAGGCAGATTTGAAGTAAGATCCTTGTTTCCTCCATTCACTTGGCTGCCTGCATACATCAGATTTGCCAAAGGCTGGGAGACTGCACGACTTGGGATTTCTTTGTTTCAATTCGAGCGTAGCGTTTCGCAACCCCAAACGGCCCTTATTTTCGAGCCCTCGAGCCTCGAGGCCATGCTACGGCGGGAGACTCTGAAAAGATGGGAGAATTGCCGTACTCGATCAAGGGTGATTTCATTGCAGGCCTGGGACGCGTGTTTGTTTTTTCTTCTTTTTGTTGGCACGTTATGTTTTGCTTGAAATTGGCGGCATACATTTCTTCAGACCGGTTGGAAACGTTGGAACAGGTACTTGTTTTTCTCCTGGTTTTGCTGATTCGGTGATTCGGTGATATGTGTGATTTCCTGGCTCAATCCCCTTCTGGTGAATAGTTCTTAATACGTATTACGTATGTTTCTATTTGTTCCAGGTTCCTGGACAAATCCAAGATGTGGACGGAATGTTTTCACAGATTTCTAGAGTCGGGTTCACTAAGCACGCAGAGTCACTGCCCTTCCTGTTTTTTCAAGCATGTCTTTGGAGTTCTTTGAACACTTGACACAGATGCTGAGATGCCGATGCCGCACCGCAAAGGCTCAATCAGAAAGGACAGGGGATCTATAGAATAACTATTTGCCAAGCTGTATGTAATGTTAACAGTCTTTCACAAAGGGACTGTCTCCGTCATTGTGCCGCGGGTGTCTTCCTCCCACGCCGACGCAGGTTTGACCGTGGGGTTGATGTTGGTGCCTCAGTGCTTAGCCTTCGCCTTGCTGGCAGGGCTGCCGATTCGGGCGGGCTTGTATTCCTCATTTGCTCCCCTGGTGATCTATGCCTTACTGGGTAGCTGGATTAAAATGCCTGACGATGATGGGTGCTAAAATGTGCTAAAGTGATTAAGCTATCCAAGCATTTGTAAGCGTGATTTCCACGTCAATTTACGGCTACCTTCCATTGTGGGAATCCGTTGACACCCAATATTTGATAGATGCTTGGGAATGCAGATTGGCATTGATGGTTGAGTTGCATGCTGCATGTTACACTCTTTCAATCTATTTTACTATCATATCATGTCTGAAGAACTAGTGTAACACACAACTCGTTGAATCTATTTCACATATCTAAAGCCGGGAGTCCTCACAAGTAATATGTCTGATTGCTTCTGAACACTCCGTTGATGTTGCTCATTGGTTGTTTCCGAATCTCCACGGGCCGACGGACGCGACGGATGTTGCTGAGGTACCCTCCGACAGCTTCAAGTGGGCCCCACGGCATTGATCAGTCTCTTGACCGGTCAGGCCTTGGATGCAGTGAACTTGTTGGGAGACGACGAGCGCTTGAGTGGGGCAAGCACTTTAGCACTCTTGGTGGGTCTGGTGAGTCTTCTCTTGGGCATCCTGCGCTTTGGATTTGTGGTGGACTTCATGTCCCATAGTGTCATGAGTTCCTTTTGCACAGCTTCAGGCCGGAGGAAAAGCGAACAAGCACAGAACTCTACGGAACTCTTCGATGGTGATCAGTTTAAATGGGGGATTCTTTCTCCTTCCTCAAGCCTAGCAAGGCATGCTTGGTTTAGTTAAGTTTTGCACATCTGGCGAACCCTTTTAGATTGCAACCGCCTCTCCAGAGCCCTTGGACCGCCTACCAGGCGTGATCATCGCTACATCCCAACTGAAGCATGTCCTTGGCATCAATATCAAGCGACACAAGTACTGGTGGGAGACTGCATATGACCTTTGCTCCAAACTTCCGGAAACTGATGCTGCAACCGCTGTGCTTGGCTTCACACTGTTGGCAATGCTGACCTTTTTTAAGAAGTGGAAGCAAGCAGGGAATGAAGCCAAGCGCTCGAAGAGCCTTATTTGGAGGTGGTTTCCCAAGAGCAAGGACTCCTGTGCTTTCAAATCTATGAAGATCTGTGCAGACTTGTCCTCCGTGCTTTGTGTAATCCTTGGCTGGGTTTGGGGCTTCATCTATAGGGAAGCTGGAATCAATTCAGTGAGGCTCATCAATGACAGCGAAAGCAATGGCTTTGTTTTCCTTCTCCCCAGCTTTGACGGCAAAACTCCAGACCTCATCGTGCCTGCAGTGATGATTGCAGTGGTGGGCTTCTTGGAAACCATTGCCGTAGGTGGCAAGATGGCCAACGAAAAGCGATACAGCTACGATGCAAACCAAGAACTTCTGGCCTTGGGTGCTGCGAATGTTGGTGGAGCCTTCATGGGAGCTTTCCCCATTACAGGCGGCTTTTCCAGGACAGCAGTCAACGCCATGTTTGGTGCGAGCTCCCCATTGGCTGGTGCCTTGACATCGATCATCGTGGTGATTGCGGTGTATTCCTTGATGCCAGTGGTGGAGATGCTGCCTTTGGCAGCCTTAGCTCCCTTGATCATCCATGGTGCTATTGGTGTTACTGACTTTAAGGCTTTCATCCCCACCTTCAAGGGAAACAAGTTGGACTTCCTCATCATGTTGTTCACCTTTTTGATGTCTCTTGGCTTGACGGTGAAGGAGGGCCTGATCACCGGCGTGGCACTCTCCATCCTGAAGCTCACCTATGAAGTGGCTATGCCCAACTTGGCCGTTTGTGGGCAGGTGGAAGATGGGACCTTCAGAGATGTGAGGTACTATCCAGAGGGTCAGATGATACCCAAGAGCGTCGTAGTTCGAATGGATGCTGGAATAAGCTTCGCAAACACCAGACGCTTGCAGGAGTTTTGCATGCGTGCAATGAGCGCCGCAAGCAAAGCTGACTCCTCGGTGTCACATTTGATCTTGGATTGCAAATCCGTCAACGGCACCGACATGACTGGGTGTGAGGCCATCGAAAACCTCGCCATTTCGTTGGAGAAGCGCAAGAAATCCCTCGTTTTGGCCAACTTGAAGGCACCGCTCACGAAGGCCAATCCCGACTGGCGCATGTCATGGTGAGTGCCTGACAGACATGTCGCCTATTGCTTTATAATGGTCACCATGTTTGTGGAAACTTTTGCAATGCTACTTTGCGTTTGCTGGTAGAGTAGAGATATGTGCAAGATCATAATTTATCCACATTCCTTTTCTGAAAAGCCCAAGCAGACTTGATGTTTAACCTGGATAGCTTTTCAACATCGAGAACTAGCGCTACAGAGTTGCTGCAGGTTTAGGCCAGAATCCGTACATAAGAGTGAGCCTCCAGTTTATCAATACAGCACATTTCCACAAATATCAATGACCAAAAGGTTGAGAATAGCTCATGTAATTCCTGTCCCATGACAAGAGATCGTGGGCCATGAACATGAGTTCAAGATAACTCGTGACATGGTGCAGTCCTTCAGGCCATGTTCGCAGCCGGGGTCGACAAGCACATCGAGGCCAGTCAATCTGATAGAACATGTTTACACCCCCGCTAGCTAACGTGGAACCTGAGGATTGACCGGTGGAAGACCATTTTCCTCTACAACCCAGTGGTTTTGGGGTTCCATGTTTGTCTGCAGGGGAGTAATAGTTTATATAATGTTTATAACTATGACCCAGAATTTTTTTCGTCAAAACATTATCTACCAGAAGAATTTATGGTATGACAAATTCTCTGATAGTTCTTTGTAACTATGACAAGTCTGAAGAACTTTGCCCAAGAGTTTGCCTGTCTGAAAGAATCCTACCTTGCAACGATCAAAGACATTCGAAGGCGCATGGTGGGCACCTTTGTTGGAACATGGCCCAAGCCATCGCTTTAGTCAATGGCGGCGATCCCGCAGCAGCCAAAGGGATTCTTGGAGAGCAAGGGTCAGTCGAGTGGGAGAGTGGGATGGAAGAACTGAAGAAGACTCATCATTCTCATTCATTCAGATCCATTTTTCTTCATTGTCTCATTCTTCATTCTTACATCCTTCTCCTGGCCACTGGTTGCACCATTCTTTGATCTCAAGTCTTGCCCAAGTCAGTGCCTGATGCTCCTCCAAACATCACAGTACAGCGGTACGTCCGCGGAAAACATCGCATGGATTACAGTCGATGGCACAAGAGTTTCAAGAGTCGATGGCACCCTTGGGCCCTCAAGGATTCTAAAACACATGTCATGTACTCTGAAACCACTGTCAATGGGGCCCTGTTTGATGGATCCTTTTCGAGCTCCCGGCGTCACCGCCGGTCGCGGGTTTCGAGTTCGGTCTGATGTGTTCGTGTCGTTTGTTCACTGCAAAACGCACACTCACTCGGTCCATGTGGACCCTCTGTGTTCTCAGAGTATTCATGTGGACCCTCATGAGTAGTAAGTGCAGTGCAGAATCAAGTCACTTGGTGAGAAATCGCGCCGCGCCTGGAAGTAGCTCCTCTACATCATAGTTTTAGAGAACGGCATGTCATTTTTTTAAACTGCGATATTACGGATGTCAGACTCATTGACGGGTGTCAGACTGCCTTGAATCCAAGGTCTGTGGCTGATCTTCACAGCCGAGTTCAATCCAACGCAATGACTTTCAAGCAATGTATCCCTCTCTGAATTGTAGAGATGGGATGCAAGCTTTCGCTGCACGGGATATCCAACCGATACCCGTATTTGCGTGTTGGATGATCTCCACTCAACTCTTTCTGACATCCAACCATTGAGATTCTGACAAGTGAAACAAGCGCACCAACCGCACATTCCATGCAGATCATCCAATATATATAATTGGCTTTCCATGGGCATTCGCACCCGTTGCGATATGCTGACACATTCGCACAAGCTGCGACATGCTGTCAAGGATGTTCGCACAAAATATGCGCAGAAGTTCTGTTGTGAGTGGACCCGACTAACAGTGGTAAAGCCTGTTGAGCGGGTCTTCCAGGATTCTCCCAATTCCGAAGACCACCAGTTTTCTTCGAACATGGGCGGGTGAAAGCCATCCAACAGTCGTTGGAACTCCACCACCAGGCAGACATTTCTGCAAGCCAGGCAGAGGGTGGCGCCAGATGCGAGGAGCCTGGTCTCAGTCAGCTGTGCGTGCGCAGGTGCAAGGCAATGGGAAGCTGCCTGGAGCTGCTTGCAGGACACTGGGAAAACTGGGATGCCAGTGGAATTTGCTTGACGATCCGTCCACAACTTGAATTTAAGCTCAAGAGGATCACAATGAGCTTGTGCCCAGCACATACCGGATGGTCGTTCGGTCTGTAGGCTTATCCTAAACTGGGTTTTACGTTTGCGTGAAACATCAGGTATTTTTTGGTGCTGTTTCTTCTTTAGCAGGGCAAGCAAGGATCCAGCAAGGCAAGAAGTTGCTCCAACGTTTGCCGAAGTCAGGTACTGCAAGTAAGACTGGCACATACAACTTGGGGTGCTGCGCCACCGCCACATCTTCATGGCCGAAAACATCATCGTCACGTGTCACGAAAAGAGTTCCCGAGGAACTGAGGAACCACGTTAAAACCCCTCGATGGCCAGGAGGTTGGAACGAATGGGAGAAGCAAGAGAAGCAACCACTCCTTGATCTTGGCCTATGAGGCTCTCCTTGTGACCCGGCGAGATAGGACCATCGACACCACAGCCGTCCAAACAGTCCACAAAGAAAGCCTTTCCAGGTTAGTTGGACTGTTGGACTTGAATTAGATATAGCGGGTTTCAGAGTAGATAGCACAAGGGCCCCCAAGTTTAGTGGTTTAAATGGACCCCCATCTAAAAGACATTTTGTGGTGCCAGTGCCATCTACCCTGAAACCTAAGTACTGGGTGAGGCAAAAGGAACTGGACAAAAACGGGCTATGTTAACTAATTTCCTTTGCCACTTCACTCTCTCTCTCTCTCTGCCAGTGTTTCTGCACATGTTCATGCCAAGACCGCTCATGTCGGAGGGTCAAGACATGTAAAGATTGTCTTGTTTTCAGACCGCTGCATGTTTTCGGGTCATCATGTTTGCGAGTTCTGCATTCACTGCAGCTGCAGCTGTCATGCAACACAGCGTCGACCCCCGTCCCCGCCCCCCGGTCTCCTCCAGTGCTCCGAAGCCTGGGAGTCGATCTGAAACTGATCTGAAACTTGGTCCAGTTTCCACACCGCTTCTGGCAATGGATCTTATACCACTATGGGATATATACAGGAACTTCATGGTTTTGCCATAGATAAGCAGACCGGGTATGTCATCGGAAGCTTGCACTGCTGACCGATCCGCTGTGTGAGTCCTGGGGCAGGCACTCGGCACTCTTCCTTAGCATTCCTCGACATTCCTGTTAACATTTTTCTTGGCAACATACTTCTTGAGCACTCCAACACATTACTATGAACTCTCCTTCTCAGGTTCAAACCCCCCAAGCACTGGGTACGACCATGTGTGACTTTTTTGGTGTGACTTGTCACAGCTCCAGAGCCCCAGAGCTTACTCCGCTTTCGCGAATTAGGCCGCCCTGGCCGTTCCACCGTTGGACGCTGCGCATGCGCAGCTGGCAGCGCAGCTGGAGTTCTTTCTAGCCCTGGAAGGTGGGTGAGGGCAGATCGGCTCGGCAGATCGGAGGGTGGTAGTGGTGGAGGATGGAAGTGGAATTCATTGTCCATCTGACATTGTGTTTTGACACATGTTTAAGGCGATGTATCCCAAGAGAAGCGATATGCCAAGAATTTTGAGAAGAGTGGTCTTTAGATAAAGTACTCTGAGGTGCTGACATATCCAGTCCATCCCCTGCCTTCCAAACTTCCGATCAAGAAGAACATGGTGGTGAAACGTGAGTCGTGAGTTGGAGGTTGTCCCGTCAGACGGGCGTTGTCAGCGCTGTTTTGGACGCACGGGTATTCTTCAGTTTGAGATGCATGACAGGTAGCCATAGGAAGCATCTGGTGAAAAGAATTTGTTTTCTTCTTCCAGATCCGGAACGACCGGCAACACCTTGGGTTCCTCGTGGACGTTTTTGCGATACGAGAAGGGATGCGAAGCAAGCAGTCTGGACATTTTGCACATCGAGACTCCGTTCGGGGCTCGTCTTGTCAGGTCTCTCCTCCTTGCACTCCTGGCGCTGTTCTGTGTGACGGGTGCTGTGTGACCCTTCGGACAGTGGCAGCGCCTTCGAGACTTGTAGGTTTGCCTGCGGAGAAGAGACCATGCAGAGTTCATAGCTAGCCTATATATAGCTAGGTGGCACGACCTTCTGAGTAGAACAAACAATGTCTCTACTTCTGAGAACCCCCTGGCACCAACCAGCGAAGCCCTTTACTTCAGATCAGCACCTCTGCAGAAATACCATTAGGGAGGACCTTTGTTCGGGTCTTCCCCAAAGAACACGGACCCAGATCTCGGTGAAAGAACACGTATCTAATTTCCAGTAGATCCACGTGGATCTTTCAGACAAATTCTGGGTTCTGAAAGATCCAGATCTTCTCCGCAAAAAACCGACCATCGAAGGGTTCCGAGCTTTGGAAGGTGATCTGGTTCCGAGTGGCGCCAGTTCGCTGACACAGATCACCGGCTCAACGATTTGAGAGATGCTCAAGGATCATTCTCCTTGTGAAAGCTAATGAATGGCTGCTCAGGGCATGTTTCACACCACCAATGTGTTGCAGGCGACCCAGGTCGGTGATTTCGGTCGACCTGCGTCAGGTCGACCGGTCGGTGCTGCTTGACCCGTCCGCATCGAAGGGGTAGACGACCATCCAGCGGTCGTGGTTCGGGACGTGGGCAAGTTGTGGTTCGAAAAATTCGCGAACTGCCAGGTTGAGCTGACTAGAATTTGGAGTTGCAAGGTGGTAGTACAGGGCCCAAAATGGCATCGGCTTGTGGAAGTTCCAAGTTGAAGTCCCCAGAACCCATGGAACGCAAGAGCTTACACTACCTCAAGTCTTCACAGGCAGTCTTTACATGTCTTCTTTTCAGCGGTCAACTCGCCTCAGGCCTGGTGTGTTTAGCTCCAACCCTTTGACGGCTTCAGAGGCTCAAGACGTCTTCTGCGGCATCTGTCATCAATCCTTTCGTTCTTTGCACATTGCCATGCCTCACCTGGTCTGCCTGGTGGCAAGCTGGGCTCTCGCTCAGGGCGTCCGGACGACCGGCACCGAACGCGAACGCAGCGGCCAGGGTCCATTCGATGGTATCTTGGAAGAAGTATTTCCTCCAGATTGCAAGACATCCTGCAGATTTCCGGTAGGGTTGTGGAATCCGACTGGCTCCTGAACTGGACTGAACCGGATTCCTCGCAACCGGATCAGACCCCCAGCAGGGCCGTATGGAACGTCCTTCCAGGCCTCGGCCTTGGCTGCACACCTGACAAGGGAAAACGTGATGAGAAAGCGACATGGCTAGTGGAGCATGGATGTCAGGGTCATCGGCTGCGTACGATGTTGCTGGGCCCTAGAAACTAGGCTGATGGGATCCAAACTGTTCCAAGGTCCACTCTGCTCAGAGGGTTATGTAGTTATGTTCCACCTTTTTTTAGAATCATAACAGGTGCACATTCGCTGGATCGGTAGATATATAGTGACAAATAGGTGATCCAGGTGACTTGATGTAATCCTAGGGTCAACTCTATGTCTGTGGACAGTTCACGTGGGAGGTTGGGCAGCGCAGACCCAAAAGCCTCCACAACCATAGCTGGGGGCTTCCCCGGCAGGTAACTAGATGCTCCTCCAGACTAAATGAAGTGACCTGCAGGCCTTTGGTCTTGGTTCTTTGGTCCAGTCCTCTCTTTTCTCCAGCCTTTCTTTTCTTCGAGCGCGCGCCAGGTATGGATCTCCACGGCGGTTGGTCTGCCTCTCCCAGCAACGGTTGCACTGAATCGGGATGGAAAGGAGACTACAGCATCTTTGGAGGCCACCAGAAAATCCTCAGCGTGGAGATCGGACCAGAGAAGACGACGTTTACCTGGAGTCCAGAAGTGGCCAGCCAAGTGACTCGCATGTCCAGACCAGAAACATGTCCATACCAGCCTTTGTAATGGGATCACTTTCTTCCAGTGTTCACTGGACACCTCCATGCCAGCTACGCCTGAAGCTCTCTTTTTTTCATGTTCATGTTCCTTTTTTAAAGCCGCAATATGAATTCAGCCGATATTGAACAAGGCCAAGCAGTTGAACGAACAGACGAAGCTTGGAACATGGATGAGGATGGAAGGCCTGGCACCAGTGCGATTGTGTGGGAGTTTCCAGTGTGATTGTGTGATGATGTTGTGATAAAGCTCTCGGAGTTAGAGTCTCCAGCATCCATTAGAATCCATCACATTCGTCAGTGATGCTCCTGCATTATCCTATACTTCAGGTCACTTCATCATTTTGCACCAACAACAAGTCCTCCAATGCCGGCCCCGTTGAGGTCCTCAGCTGAATCAAGATCTTGCTGACTTCTTCTGCAGCCCCGGATGGCATGCCTCTGCGTCGCTTGGCAGTGGGCTGGGTCGACATGAGGAGCCGCCATGGGAGAGCTTATGGATCGGTTAAATCTGCATTATATATATATATTATTTGTTATTTGATATATATATATATACAGTATATTGATTGTGCAAAGTCTGTATTGTCAGTCACGTCGTGGGAGAGCTTTTCCTTCCCTTTGTCTTTAGGAGCAGCTGCATGGGGCGTCCCCTTTTTCCGACTGAAGCAGGAACTCGATGTAGCGGTATACAGGAACTCCTCTGCCACCGACCAGTTGAAGCAGAGGTCGAAATGCCACACTGGATTTGTATGTATAGTCTGAGACACGATTCAGACGACTTCGATCCAGACGACTCCACCTCGGAACGACTTCAAATGATCCTGTTTCGCAGCGAGTTCGGACGCTTGTGTGACGTCAACGTCCGAAGGCGCTTGGTGACCAACGCATGCTCCTTTTGGTCTTCCTTGACCAGCCGATGTCCAGCACTTTCCGCTGAGCCCATCGATCCTGAGAGCCTCCCAGAGTCGGCGGTGCCGAGACATGTGAGCCGCATCGGGAGCGGGGTCTCTGTAGGGCCCAAGAGATGCCCGGGTAGCGTCGTTTCTCGCTCCGTTCGTAGCGATGCCAGGAGCCCCGAACGTAGTAGCGTCTTTCTTTGCTCCTAGTAGGTATGAGTGAGGCGTTTTGGGGTTGGGAGTGGTCCATTCTTTCGCGAATGGCACTGGTTCTTTAGTTTGATGCGGATAGAATACGTTCCAAAGAGATTCATGGAATTCTATGAATCAACGTTCACTCCAGTGCAAGTGTCAACAAGAATACCCTTCAAACCTGCCCGAACTCCAACCTAGCCTTCTTGGGTCATCGGTGACCTACTCCCAAAGAAATCCAAGCATGTCTTCAAAGACTATAATGATGTGGGCAAAGTCATTAATCACACGAAACAATTCAGGGCACCGTGGACCAACAACAGGCGGCTTACTCTGGGGTGAGACCACGAGGAGGTTTGGATCGACATTTGAACAACAATGAGAGGACTGTTCCACATATTCAAGGAAGGCTCCTCAGTGTGCCTCATAATGGATTTTGGTCTCAATTCACTCTAACAGGTGGCTCCCCCCAAAACACACCGATTCCTGATCACCATCATCCACCAAACGTTCCACAGGGTTCCATCATGTTTCTCTACCGATGCACCGATCTTCCATCGAACCGATGCACCGATGCGCCGCTCAGGTGACGGCCGTGGGCTTAGTAGATTCAGCTGCAGAGGCCCGCCTTCCGGATCCCTTCCGGGAGGTCCACCTCGGCGGCCCGTGGATTCCAGCGCCCACCAACGGCTGTACTTCCTGGGGATGGGAAGGACGGACGACGATGAAAAGCGGACGGACGGCAATAAAAACAGATCAAAGGATGAAGCAGAATAGCTCAACAATATAGTATGTAGATCTAAGATCTACTCGCACTTTTGGGTTTTTCGAAGGTTTTTTGTTTCGAGTTCCATAATCCCAACAATGAAGAGTCGCGGTCGAGAGTGATGAGCGATGACAGATGATTGAGCAAGAAGTATAGTATGCTGATGAAGACACGGGCTTGTGAGTTCCGCTCTTGCTGCTGCTCTCTCAATATATGATATCTTGGGCACAAGATCCAAGACAGCCCCCAAAAGAGCATCTATCCCATCCCTCTCCACCGTCCCATCCATCCGTTCGATGAAGACGGACCAACCCGCGATCGGCCGCCAGGAGAATACTGGGTGAAGGGTCATCTCTTCTTGGCTGTGAAGATTCGCCCCACCTCCACCGTCTTCGAGTGGAACCCCGAAATGGTGGCCCGAGAGCCTTGGATGGAGCAGTGCAAGGACCGGACGGAGGGATTTAGGAAGTTCGTCAACCAATGCCGTGGCGTCCCCATGACGGTGAAAGATCAGCAAATTCCTTGTGATACACCCTGCAACAGAGGTGCTGCGTTGTGCTATGTTCAAAGCTCTCTTCTTTGCCAGCCTGGTACTATGCTCCAGATGCTCTCTCCTTGCCTTGTACAAGGCTAGTATGCATAGTTACAAGGCTCTCTTCTTTGCCAGCCTCGTACTGGCCGCTTAGGCCAAGCGGTCGAAGAAGGACAACAAGCTCCGAGATTGGTGGGTGATGGAAGGACTGTGCGAAACGAAACCGATGCGAACCCGGGTGAATTGGTGGTGTGGGTTGGTGCTTGGGTGCTTGACGTGAACCCTGGGCACTGGTCCGAGCGGAAAGTGGAAAGCGGTTGGGAAGGGGTTCCAAGGGATAACGGATAAAGTCGAGTTCCGCAACTGCGCAGGATTCCGCAACTAGGATTCTGCAACTATTTGGTCGGATTCCGCAACTAGGATTCAACTAGGATTCCGCAACTGTTTGGTCGGATTCTGCAACTGGGATTCCGCAAGTAGGATTCTGAAACTAGGATTCCGCAACTGGGATTCCGCAACTAAGATTCCGCAACTAGAATTCCGAAACTAGGATTCCACAACTGTCAGGATTCCGCAACTAGGATTCCGCAACTAGGATTC